CGACATGGGCCGCAGCGTGGCGCGCACTCGCTTGTCCACAACGCCCTGGGGATTGCGTTTCAGTTCGACCAGCTGCAAGTCGATTCCCAGTGAATATCAGTCAAGATGGGGGATATAAACGGGCGCATAGATACATCAAGGAAAGACGCTACAGCTCTACAGAAAGTTAAAGATATATGGGATAGAGCAACTACTGCTATTGTGGATGGATGGAGGGAGGGGTGGGTGGGTAGTTGGTTGGGTGTTTCGAATAGCTTAAGTTCATAGTTAGTCTGTAGTGTTATATGGCAATTAAAGAACTATTTTTGCCTGTATCAATGTGTATGATAGCTAAACGACAGATCAGATCAGATCAATCTGATCAGTTTGAATGCCTGAAGAAATGGAAGGCATTCAAACTGTTCCGACTGTCCTTCACTGTCCTCAATCAAACATTCATGACGCATATCAGAATTTGCACGAGTGTGTGTATATCTAGCTATAACACCTACAAAAAACTACAAAACTTCCTTACTACCAGTCTTACTTTCGGTACGAACACCAAACACAAAGTGGCTGTCGTACAAAAGATTATAAAAAACGAGAGTAAGACAAAAACAAGATCCTTGCGGTCGGATAGCACCAGGGATATGGCAGCCCCGGCCAGGCAGGTGATGAACACATTGTAGACCGAGAAGCCAATGTGCTTGGAATCGTTGAGAGCCGGTATGGAAACGTGTCGGGTTTCCCAGGCCAAGAATGCGCCAAAGACCTGACAACAAAAAATAATACAAAATATATAATTTCAGAGGCATTATTCAAGTGATTTAAGGGATCTACCCACCAAGAGAAGACCCTTATACGCATAGATAATGCTCACAAATATGGTCATGTGCTCTGACTGGCAATATTCGTTTTCGGGTATGACCAAAACATCATCAATGTTCTCATGGTGCTGCATAGAAAGAAAGATATTGAAGATCATCATTGCAGAATTAATGCCACCTGTGTGGGCTCTTACCAATGGCTCCAATTGTTTGGTCTCCCTGTAGAAGGGATCCGCAATCTGCCAGGTGGTTATAATGGCAATATCGATAAACAACAGCACACCCACAACCATAAATAGCTGATAGTCCTTGATCACTTTTTTGTTCAGCTTCAGATCGGTGAAAATGGAATGCACACGCCACGTCTTGGAGAACATGGCGCCAAAGCTGAGGCTGAAGCCAGCCATCAAGATCCAGGCCCGGGCCGTGCATATGTAGGGGAAGGCAGCCACACTGCTCAAGGTGGTGTCGAGGCCCCAGGAAGATAATGCTCAGATAGGTCAACATGCAGCCCACTATGATCAGGTTATTCAGATGTGGACTGGACATTTTGATGTAGCTGAGGTGATAAGAGACAACATTATTGGAGATATATATAGAAGGCAGAAGGAGAATGTTGTCTTACCGCTGGTTGCGATACTTGATGTTGAAGGCCAGGAAGACGGTGGCAATGATCACACCGATGACGGAGGCACTGGCCGAAACAATGTATATGGTGGGATTCACCTGGCTGTGCTCAATGTAGATCAGTGTGCGATCCTTCGGCGGCGTCTTGCCCACCCAGCGCACTGGCTTGCCGAGACTGAGATCCAGATGCGCTTTTTGCGAATGATATTCACCGATCTTCTCCATTTGACCCAACTGAAACTGATTGATCAGAATATTGGCCTTGCGCTCGTTGTTGTAAAATCGTACAGGCCCCTAAAAGAATAACGGAAATACATAGAGGAGTTGAAAGGAAAAATCTAAATGCAGTTGGACAAACCGTTACGCCCTCAAAGGAGGTGTTGCGCAAGGCTTCTAGGAAGACGTCCTCCCAGTCCTGTACACGATAATCGAAATGTGTCAATATATCCTCGCGCTTCTCTGCCACATACTGTATGGCGAGAGCGGCAGCCCAGATGCCATCGTAGGTGTAGCCATGGAAGCGCGAGTATTCCGTGCCGCGCAGTCTATCGTACTCCACCAAGTACTCATCCGCCGTCTGTGGAAAATACTCCAGTCAATTGATATGATTGTGCATGCTAATGGCAATTCACACTTACAATTCCTGCCACAGTGATGTCCCCGCTGGTGGATAACGGCAGCAGATCCACCAGTATTGCGCCCTCCAGGGCCGTGGCAATCTCTTCCACGCTGCACTCGCTGTCCTGGGTAACGTTCCACCAATCGGTTGAGTAGGTTGCCATTATCAGCCACTGATAGGCCCGCCCATACATTTCCAATCTGCAAGGCAAAAATCATATTAAACCATTCCCCAGGGGACTTCCAGGGGACTTGCACTCACTTGTAGGCCTCGCAGAAGGCCTTGCGTGCAAAATGCTCATTGAAGTTGCCCAGAATGATGCGCACATCCTTCTCGCGCAGCTTCTTCAGCGACTCGGCCACATCGGCGACAAAGCTCTGCGTTTCCACAACCTCCACCTCCATGGAGTCGAGATCGGCCACCATGTGATTGTGGGGCAGGGAGTAGCGCGGCTCGTTCTGGTACACAGTGCCCACGCGCGTCCAGTTGAACTCCTTGAGCAGCGCCAGCCGAGGCGCATTGAAGGCATTCTCCGATGGCACCACGCGGAAGAAGTTCGGGAAGGCATCCTTGGTGAACATGGGATGGGTGTCCGCGTAGCTCAGCTGCGTCAGGTGCCAGTGCTTGCTGGCCTTGGCTATGGGATCGGTGACATGGGTGCAGGCGGCTCCGAACAGCATCACTTTATTGGGCCCAGAGTGCATCATGTCGAAGAAGGATTTCACACCCACCGCAGCATTGCACTTTAAAGGGGAAGCCGCCACTGAATATGGTATATCCTGATCCTCAGTCCAACTTACCTGCGTGTCATTCCACCACATATGCAGCCTGTAGTTGGCCAATATCTTGCCGTGCTCATTGACATGGCCCAGCGCCAGCTTCACGCTGGGCATGACGCCGCGTCCAGTGTACGAGTTCTCCACGCCATCGCCATAGGGAAAGAATCCCGCTATATACACATCCGAACGCTTTGCAGTTCTGCTCCACGTACTGCCAACACATAGCAGCAGTATGGCCACGAATGGGATCCACCTCCACGGTAACATGTTGAGCGCATGGACTGCAAAACGTTTCTGGCTGGTATAAATATTGTAGAAGGACATGAACTTGTAGCCACTAAACGGTTTATGGTTGGTTATCGGGCTGGGCTGTGCCGGGGCTGGGCTGGTATCCAGGGTAGCCCAGCCAAGGTGAGCCTCCTCCGGTGGCAAGGCTGCGCCCCACTGGGTGTGTTCGTGTATACACAAATGTTGGGGACGAGTACGTGGACAGTGGCAGGGGGGCAAGGCTAAGGCCAGTTGCCAGTTAAATTGCTTCAAATTGCAGCAGCAAGGCTGCAGAGTTTAGCAATTAGAAACTAATTTGCGGTTATCCACCAGCACATTTGCATTATTTAGTGGCCTTGTACAAGGTGTAAAGATTGCCCCCCGCACAAGTCACACGTCTTAGCACTTACTACTACCTACTTACTTACCTACTATACCTAGCCCGTACGTTGGTTATCCTTTGGTTCACAATTCTTTCACGGCTGCAGGCATATCAGCAACTTTATTTTAAATTGAACTTTTCTTCTGCGTTTTGCAGTTGCGAGGGTCCGAAAAATTATGTATCCCCCTAACTTGACACTTGGCTGACAGGACCAAAGTGGAGGCGGAAGTGCGCATGTTCCGTGCCCGAGCTGTGACAGCTCTGCCTTGGCCTAGGGCATTTTCAACCCCCGAACTCCCGCAGACCTTTTTTGTAAACAAAATCATGGCTGGCAACAGGTGGATCCCCATCGGCAGCGCAGCTGTTTGCCATTCGAATTGTTATGACCGTTACCATGGACTACACGGAAAACGAGGCAGTCATTGATAATTGAAAATTTGTCAGTATCGACAGACAGACAATGGAGGACTATGCGCCGAGTCGCTATAAAATGCTCGAGAAAATTGGCGAAGGTGTCCATGGCTGCGTGTTTAAGGCCATCGATTTACAGCGCAACAAGGAGGTGGCCATCAAGAAGGTGGCTCTGAAGAACAAATTCGGCAACATTTCGCTCAACACGCTGCGAGAGATCAAGACACTGCAACTGTGCAAGTCGGAATTTGTAGGTAAACCTTATAGATTCGGGGGGCGGTTGATTAACCCACTAATTACTTAACTATAGATCCTGACGATTGTCGACATATATCCCGATCTGACTGGGCTGTCGCTGGTGCTGGAATATCATCCCGATACCCTGTACAGTCGCCTTAAGAGCGAAGTGAATCCCCTTAGCCGCCAGCAGGTGCGCAAGTTCGCCCATCAAATGTTCAAGGGCATTGCGTACCTGCACGAGGCGGGCCTGATGCACAGGGACATCAAGCCAGCCAACTTGCTGATCAGTGACACGGATATGCTGAAAATCGCCGACTTTGGGCTGGCTCGTCTCTACTTTCCAGAGGATGAGTCGCGTCTGTATTCGCCACAAGTCTCGACGCGCTGGTATCGTGCTCCCGAAATACTCTGGGGCAGTCAGAAGTACAGCACTGGCGTGGACATGTGGGCAGCAGGTAAACGCCCCGCCTTCATTGCTTAACTTGCGCTAATGAGTTTGTTCATTTAGGCTGCGTGGTGGCGGAGATGTTGCGCGGTGTGCCCCTGTTTGCTGGCACAACGGACATCGAACAGTTGGCCATCATAATTCGCACCTTGGGCAGTCCTCGTCTGAACCAGTGGCCAGAGTTAACTTCGTTGCCGGACTACAGCAAGATACGGTGAGTGGTTTGGCTGCTTAAATGTTGCTTGAATTAAACAGTTATCGTTGCTTGCTGGCTTCAGATTTCCCAACTCCGTGGGCATACACTGGGACAACTTGTTTCCGAGCTGCACGCACGCCGTGGAGATTAGTCTGGTCTCCAATTTGGTCGTGTATAATCCCAAGAACCGCCTAAACGCCAACGAGGTAAGTTCTCAACTCCACTGAATGTGTTTAACACTTAACAAACGCGCATTCTTATATTTTCAGGCTGTCGAACATAATTATTTCCACTAGTTAGCATCTAAGAATTCTCCGATTCTTTGTATCTGTAAGGAAAAATAATCAATTGGCTATGGAACAGCATGAACACAAAGAGCTGCACTTACTTGCACTTCAGACAGGTGAAGAACACGGTCTGACCCTCGTCCGCCGATCGCAGCTGCAGGGTGGCATATGACATCTTCTCGTGTCCGCACTTCGGGCATTTACGCTCCACAACGGGCCCATCAGCCTCCTCCGACTCGGACTCGCGCTTCGTCCTGTTGAAGACCTTGCTGGGATCGTAGGTGTTGAACTGTATGCTGTACTCCGTCTTCTCTCCGCTATAAACTGTAAGAGAAGCCGCTACGTCAAGGAGAAGCACTTGGAAATGGTCTAAATGTGAGACTCACCGTCCGGCAGGAACTCTTGGTTGCAGTTGTGGCAGATGACGTTGCCCTTCACCTGCAGCGGTGGCAATATGGAGCCACAGGACGGGCAAAATCCGGGCACATTGTTAAAAGTTTCCATTTTTCCAAAAACAGAAATAAACAAACCACCGCACGTGTTAGCAAAACCAGTGCTGCCGATTCCGCTTTTTTCCCGTCAAATCTGGCTATTTTTAAAGATGCAAGGTGTGTGACCAAAACAGGGTTCAGCTTTTTTCCCGTCAGCAAAGCACCGCACATGCTAGCAGTGTGACCGTGCTGTTCCAGGCCGAAAATACCTAATTAGTATGTTCCGATTGGCTCAATGCAAATTTTAGGCGGCAGAATTCAAATTTGAGTTTAAAAATCAGAAAAGTTATTCGGATACATAACATTTTCTGTCTATTTTTCTATAAACTGATTCATATTTATTTATAAACATTTCACAAACATCTTTTATTTTATGCATTCTTTCTGTTGGTTTTACACAATTTTTTGGCTACTTTTTTTTTTTAGTTCTCGCTTACTTTTTTTCAGTAGACCACATACTCTACATATGTATAGTATGTACACATGTATATTTCGAATTTAATTTTGAATCTTTGTATTAAAGTGTATGAAATGTTATTAATATTATATTTTTATAATTATGTATAGGAGGAAATCTATGAGACAGCAGTATTGCGATCGTGGTACAAACTAGTTTACTAAAATGCAAATCAATTGTTCTTTTTGATTAATTAAACTACCTAAAAACTATCACAGGCAGAACAGTAATTACGCGCTAGAGAACCTAACTACAAGCTCGCATCTAGGAACTTTTAAGCTGTGGCCCCAAAATCCAATCCAATACAATCCAATCCACCGATCGATCCGATCCATTAACCATTACCGACTGGCATGACTCTGCGGCATATTGAGCTCCCATAGCTTCATGTTATTATCGAGAACTTCGTTGAACCACCTCTCCTTGTCCGGCTGCAGCCTAAAGACCACATCGAGGGACTTGAGGTCGAGCTGCAGGATGGCATCGTTGCCCAGCAGCGTGTCCAGGGATCGCAGCAACGTGCTGTTGCCGTGCAGCTTCAGCAGGGTCACATACTTCACCACATAGTATTCGTATTGGAGCTTGCGACGCGCCCAACGCTCCACGGTGGCATTCGAACTGGCCGAACGGATCTGGCCCAGATGCTCGGCAAACCACGGCGCAAAGTAATTGTAAAGATCCAGCTTGGAGAGCGCATTGAGGCCCTTGCTCCTGATGCGCTCCTTGATCATTTTGAAGTTCTTGCGACTGTACACAACACCTGGTACAGCGAATTGCCCGTGGTATACGAGTTAACGTAGTGTGTGCCGACGCTCTCAATGAAGCGCACCGCCGACGTGAGATTTCCGATCTCCAGCTGATCCATGCGCGCCCGCACCTCCGGCTCCAGCTGCTGGTCAATCGGTATGTCGGCATTCAGCTTGCCAGTCTCACGGAATCGGACCACCCGCACCAGCACATACGAGTAGTCGCCGTGGATGAAGGAGGTGTTGATGCCCAGCTTCTTGGCCGCATTGTCCGGAAACCAGCCACCCGTGAAGGCCTCCCACGGCTTGTCCATCCGCTCGACGGTGAAGTCACGGAAGTAGGCCTGAAACAGCTGGCGACGATTATCGCAAAACTCCATATGGAAATCGCCATGAAAGATGCCCGGCGTGTTGTCCTCATGGCTCTCCGCCAGGCCGCTTAAGTTCTAAAAAAGAAAAGAAACGAAGCATATTAGAGGGGGAGAGAAATGAGAGAGGGTTGAGCTCACCCTGTAGATATTTTTGGTTGGCTCCTTGAATATCCAACGCTCCGTTTCGACATTGTCATTCATGGGTATCACCCGCATCGATATGCTCAGGTAACCATAGCGTAGAAATATATTGATGGCTTTGCCAATGCGCAGCTGGGACTCGCGACTGCCGACGGCTGCGAGTAGCGCCAGTGCCACCAGCCAGAACAGGCCCAGCCGCCCAGATGGGCTCGGGCTCATCGCTCAGCGGTGGGCTACACAGCATGCAAGGGACCTGCAAGCGGGCAGCGGAATGTTATCAATGTTACAGTCTGTCGTTGTGGCTACCTATAAACTATAATTATATATATATATGTTTGTCTACGTTTAGTCAAGAGTATTTGCTTTTCCACTCTATAGGCGGGCGATAATTTATGCGAGCTCTAATTGACCATGAACCTTCAGTAGCGCTGAACTTGAACCGCAACGTTGAGTTGAGGCCAACTGAACCTGACGACGCGACGTCGCGATGATCTCGCTTGGCGTTTAGCTCTGACTACCTTAAGTGACTGCAATTAGCCGCAGGTTGTGTTCAGACTGTGACTGTGGCTGTGGCCATAAAGAAACGCTACAAAGTAAAGCCGTCAAAATTGGTTCGACGGCAGCATATCGTTTGGCCGTTTGGCCGTTTGGACATGCAAATGATTTCCTAAACATTTTGCATGGCCTGCAAGACGTTATGTATATGCATATATGTACATATGTATAGCAGGCAAAGCCATAGCCGTTTTTTTTGTTGTTTTTTTGTATTTCTCCTTTTTGGGCGCACTAGTTTAAACAGGTTTGCCATTCGCCTAATTATGGCCAGAGAGGAAGCCACCACAGCCAAAAATCCAGCAAATTGGCCCAGGCCAAGCCAAGCCTAGGCAATAAATTCTAACAATATTGCAACTTTTACAAGTCGAGACGGGCAAAGCCCGTTATCAGCAGTAACAGTAGAAGCAGTAGAAGCTGCAGCGACGTGTTTGACTGGTTAACTCACAAAGGTTATCCGCCGGGTGTTAGCCATACCCATGAGTCACACCTGCCCCCCCACCCCGCCAAGCCATTCTGCTGCTTTCAACCAAATCGGTGAAGCGCAACTTAAGCCAAATGACAGTAGCCACTGCCACCGCTAGGCCACAATAACACAAAAACCATATAATGGCACTCACAAATTGTTAACAATTTAAGTGAACCATAAAATGTAGGCGACACTAAACTTGTCGAGTAACAAAAACTTTAACAGTGGTAAAAACAACATCAGGAAGGGTGACACGACAATTACCAGGGGGAGTTGGGCAATGGCACAAAAGGCACGAAACGGCATGCCACGCTTGCCATTATGTCTGCTTCCAGGAAATACTTCTAATATATATGTATGTATATACTTTGCTTTAATCAGTATACTTTAGTAGTGTATTATCTCACACACTTGGCCTCATCGATGAACCCAAAAAAGATTGCAAACATCTTTCAATTTATTCTGCTCAATGAAATAAAAAAAAAACAGTCCCCCCCACTATGTTTTACTGGGAAGCCAGTTTGTGTGCTTGTCAAATTCTAATAACTATAATCATTAAATTCACATAATCAGCTTAGCTCCATTCCAAATGAAGTAACAAAAAATGCCGTTTTTTTTTTTGGAGCGGTGGGAGGGGGTGGGGGCGGGGGGGGTGTCTGCTGACAAGTTTCCGGCGCGCTACTCTCATTGAGAGTCGGCTGCTGACTCTTTGGCAAATTACCAAAGTTAAGCTTAACATTTGTCAGTCAGAGGGGCAGCAGCAGCAGCAGCAAGTGTGGCATAGGTTTATGATATAATGACAGGTAGTGTTTACAATAGCAGTCGCATAACCTTGTGCAAAAGACCTAAAAGCCGCCAGACGGACAGACACACACACAACACAGCCGAGCAGAGCCGAGACAGTGGATATTGAGATGATCAAAAATTCAATACGCGCACTCGGACTCCACTCCACTCCACTCCACTTCATTCCAATAACCATACACCCAAGCAGCTGAACTCGTCCAACTGTGACTTTCTGACGCTGTCTTTTGCCCAGAGTCGTCTCAGGTCTCAGGTCTCTCAGCTCAAAGTCTCTCTCCGTCAGAGCTCAGTTCAGTCAATTGGAGATTCTTTATGCGCATTTTATGCGGTCTTTTGTGGTCTGCTCTGGCCTGGCCTGGCCTGGTCTGGTCTGGTCTGGGACGAAGGGCACAGCACCAGCACATCACACACTGACTGGGGGCGGGGGGGGCTTAAGGTCTGCAGTTTATAAGTATAGTACGAGTATATAATTTTATGCTTGCTCCGTATGCGTTGTGTGCTGTTTCCTTGAGCGGTGTGTGGTGTTAAACAAAAGTTGCCTGACTGCGAACTGTTTCTGTTTCTGTTTGTTATTTACTTTACCTGCACGAGAACTCAAACTGGAATTGACGTAACCATCAACCCAGAAGCCGCTTTTTGGTTTTTAGTATTCAGAGAAGCTTTAACTTATACAGAGACTGGAGAGAGCAGAGACTTAGACTTAGACTGAGGCTGAGACGGAGATGGAGATTGAGACTTCGCCGATTGGGATTGGGTAGCACAATTCGAGTCCGGAGAGTTGTTTGGCAGTGGTTTGGCCTTATCGCCAAGCTACTCGTAACTGACAGACCAGCAGCAGGGGCCATTGCACAAAAGCAGCAGCGCCATGCCATGCGAGTAGATTATCATTTAATTATATTTTGTTGATGGGGCGGGCTAAAGGTCAGCGATGACAGCTATGCGCTGAGCTACGCATGGCGGCGCCTTCACAGTGATAAGCATCCCTCCTAGACCATCCAAAAATAGTTCCTCCAGCCAACAGAATATTTCAGATCGGTACCGATCGGTATTGGGTTTCAGTAACACACACACACACACACACACAGCACACTTCGAGTACACTCAAATTCCACAGGCCAGAGCGGGTGTACGTATACACACTGAAGAAACGTGCCTCAATTGCAATTAAAAAGCCGGAATCCGAAAGCACTTACACTTTAAACGCGAGCAGTTGGGAACGGTCCGGTGGAACGGGATCGGATCGTGGTCATAACTTCCACCACCGCGCAGACTCGAAGAAATATTTCAATTAAAACCAGTCCCACAGTACCCAGATCGGGGCGGGCGGAAAGGCCGTTCAAATACGCCCGCTTCAAATTGTTGCTCGGCAGCATGTTGCCTCAACATGTTTTAAGCAAAATATAACATGATACCTCAAGTAAATAGTTAAAATCTGTTATATATTCAATCAATTCGGAGAGCATTTTTGCGCTCTCAACTCAGTTTTGCGTTACAGGTATGAGTTGCACATGTTGCTGGCAAATCTCGACTCATGTTCTTAAGGAAGAAGCACAGTGGGATACGTCCGAAAAACACTTAATAAATCTTAATTATTAAGATCTTACTGATCATTAAATGATTGTTTTTATGTTTAAATTATGGTTTAAATGATTACTTACCACAATAAATGGAAAATAATAAACAAAAAAGAAATTTTTCCAAAAAAAAAAAACAACTCTTATTTTGAATGATATTCTATTGATGGTTAGAGGCAGTTGCAGTTCAATGACTTGGCGGCAGAATCGCTGTTGGAGCAGCAGATGGCCAGTCGAATGATGATGGAAATACTTTGACACAAATATCTATAGCTGTCATCGGCTGGGTGTTCGAGGGACGACAGACTGACAGCTTTTCCGCTTATTAGTGTTTCCCGGCACGTTGCTCGACCGGACCGGCCCTCCGGCATACCAAGTACCCAAAACGCTGGAGATGGGGACGGGGCACAGACTGAGCCTGGGAGGGGCGCGACAAATTGAAATGATTGCAGTTTGCAGAGCGAGGGGCTTGCGCAAGACTTCAATAGAATCGTGGAACAACTTGTTGTAATCAAAAACTTTTGGGGACTGCCTCTGCCGCCTCTCTCAGGCCCCAAACTGAATGGTCAACATAGTCAAAAAAAAAAGTTAAAGATACCAAGAGCCAAAGCCAGAGGAAAAAAAAACGAAAGTATCAAATTCGCATTACCTTGAAAACATGCAAACAAATTTGGGTCAAGCCGACAGCTTAGTGGGGGTATCAGTCTGTGTGTTGGCAACGTTTGATGTTTCATGTATTTCAATTAGAAGCTTCAGAGATACAAATAAAGTATGCATATATCTTGGTCTGGTCGGTGTAAGTGTAGCCATGGCTGCAGGGCATCCGCTTGTCACAATTGCCTTGAAGGGCACACACTCTGCGCTCTGTCCATTGAAAGTTTCCACGAAATTCGCTGCTTGCTTTCTAGGAACTGGAAAGGTTCTCTTTCTGTATTTGGGGCTGTTCTGTTCGGGTGGAGTGGGGAGGAAATAACCCAAAAATCATTGCAAAAACCGACTGAAATTGTATCTCTCATATATTTCTCAATTTCCATATATAGAGGTTCTTTTTATTAATTTCTTTTTCTGTGTTTTGGGTTTTCTTTGTCTTTGCGGCATGCATGATTCAAAACTTATGTATTTAAAATTCGGTATTTCAGTGTTTACTGGTTTTTTGTTTGTTTTTGTTTTGTTTTGTTTTAATTCGCATTACCATTTTGTTCTGATTTTGTTTTTTTTTTTTTATTCCCATTTTAAACTATGTATATATTATGACATTTTTTATCATTTACTTTAAATGATATTTTCTAACGTCTTGACCTAATTGCGCATCAATGGATCGATATCGATCCATCGATCCACACATTTCACTTTACTTCATTTCATTTATTATTTTAATAACAATTCACTCAATTTGCTCAAATCGTGCCAATCCTACACATATTGACTTTGGAGATCATAAGCATTATATCAACTCGTCATCATCTCATCCTCATTATCTTTAGCTTCTTCATCATCATCGTCGTCGTCTACCACTTATCAAAATTAGAGAAAAATTCTAATCCATTTGGTTTGCTTCATTTATCGTTTTTTTTCTATCTTTATCGCCTTCTGGTTTTTCCATTTCCATTCCACTTTTTTGGTTTTTTATGTAATATCAACAATAAATTTTCGCTTAATCTTAGTGTGAAATTATTCTTAGTGTACAGCTACAATTTGCTCGCATCAGCTAAGAAAAAAACGGATCAGTTTTAAAATAAGAAACGAATCCCTTCGAAATTCTAGCTCATTCTTGGAATGTGACTTCCATTCCATTATAATCCTGATCATTTCTCTTCATTGTTTTTATATCATAAAATATTAGATTTTTGATTTGAGCATTCTTCCTTTTTTGTTTGTTTTCTGGCACACCCTGCCTAGGTTGGGGGGAGTGGAACTGCAACATATACATACACTTCCGCTTCTTCACGTTGTTCTGCACAAGTTCATCGTTTTTCGTTTTTAGGGTATAATACTTAGTTAATTTGGCCACTCGGCTGTGTTTTTTTATTTTGTTTTTTGTTGTGGGTAGGTAGTTAGTTCTTCAGTTTCGGGTAGGTTTTTCATTGGGATGCTTCTATGATTTGCATTGACTGCCTCTTGCCTGCTGTCCTGTCTGTCTCTTTTGTCTTTCATACGCTCCGAACCAAAAAGTCATAGCTCAGCGTTCAACAATAATTCTCTATGCAAAAATTGTTCAACCGTTTTGAAACCATAGAATTGTTCTGGTAATTCATTTGTGTGTGCTGTGGTGTCTGTGTGGTGTCTCTGTGGGTTCTATGGTCAGGCTAAAACTAAGCTCTGGCTTAACTGGGAGAGTGAGGTGTTGTTTTTTTTCGGGGTGCCTGTGGTGGTAGGAATTACAAAGTCAAATGTGTTTTAGTCTAATATTTATGGTAAGTGGCTTTTCTTGACCAAAAGTTATTTCGCATAGAGTTTAATCCACATTGCCCAATTTTAACGAGTTGTTTTTATTTAAGTTTAAGTTTTTATTTAAGTCTAAATTCAGCTTTTATCCTGCTCTGTAGAAGCTTGTGCCAAGCAAATAATGAGCGCATTTTTACAATCAAACGGAAGCAGGGAAAGCTTCGGTGAGAGCAGGAGCAGAAAGCTAATGAGCGCGTGGTCTAAATGTCTGGATGCTTAATGAATGATTTTGGATTGAAGGCGAGCCGGGGTTCTGATTGCTAAAGACATTTTTTTTGTGTACTTGTAAAACATTTAGAAAAGATTTTATTTAGAAGCTGCTGCTGCTGCTGCTGCTAGGGTGGTAACTTGGCTTGTGGGTAAACTGCAATTCATTTCGATTCAATTCGATTGGATTCTGTGTGGATTCCATTGTAAACTTCGATTGGGTTTGTTAAGGTTTTCGTTTTGTTTTTGTTTTTGGCTGTGGGTTAAAAGGAAGCGCTCCGCTATATTAATCTTATTGAACTTGACTGATTTTCAATGTATCCAACCTGAGTTTTGAGTTGTTCGAAAAATATATATATGTATATATGTTATGTTATGTTTACACATATTTTCTGTACTAATCATTTCTTTCGTTCATTTCATTCTTCGTGTGTGTGTTTGCTATATATTTATACGTGTCGTGTCCCGTCCCGTACCCGCGCACTCTTGCACCAGTTCTCTCATTGGCCTCTAAATAGTATAATTCTTATTTGATTTTTACTTCTGTTGTAATTGCTGTTAGTATGTGTTTGTTGTTGTGCTCACTCTATGTTTTTGTTGTTGTTTGTTTAATGTTTGTCCTTTAATTGCTTTTGCTTGAATTAAACGCGCCTGCTTTTTATTTTATAAACTCTTTTTTATGTATTTTTTTTTAATCTCTTGATTGCATTCTTAATCATTTCCCATTGAATTTATTTAAACGTCAACAATTTAGTTTTTTTTTTTTGTTTTCTTGGTAATATTTTAGTGTGTGTGTTTGTTTTTTTTTTGCTTTGTGTGTGTTCGTGTGTAAGTGATTTTATTATACGGGTCCTTTTGTTTAATGTTTATTGCATTTAAAACGTACACATTACTTTACGATTGGGTTGTCCTTGTTTGCTCTTCCATATGGAATACATTTAAACTTGGGCTTGAAACACTTGAAATTGCTCTCTTCATATGCTTTTTAACATATTCCTGCACTTCTTGTTTTTGTTTTTTGTTTTTATTTTAGTTGCTGCTATGTTTAATTATAATTAATTACGTAGTTTTTTTCACTATAATTTACTAACTCGTTTTCCGCTCGCCTCTCACAAGACAATTTTCGGATTTCTATTTGTTTTTTTTTTTGGGTTTTTATTTTTATTTTTGTATTTTTGTGTGTGTGTTTTGAAATAATCTTTGATTGAAACAATTTAGAGTGTTTTAGTTGCGGTTTCTGTTTCGGTTTCGGTTTGTGTTTCAGTTAACTTAGACACTAACAAGTGCAAGATTAACATAAGCGTTTAATGCTGTCTGACAGAAAGAAAAACAAAATAAATACGAGTAAATACAAACAAAAACGTGAACACAAAACAATCATAAATATAATAAACATAATAATGACAGACTGTCCTGCCCTGCCCTGACTGGTTAGGTTGGGGCAGGCAGCCCATTGGAATGGCAAATACAATGTAAAATTAATCACTTTTAAATTTAACAAAGTAAAAGGCAAATTACAGCTCGTTTTACAATTAACATTTTGTCTTTACGTTGCGACCGCAGTTCCCATGAATACCCTCTCCTCCTTCTTCTCTTCTATATCCTCGTCATACCTATGTATATCTTGGCGCCAAGCGCTTTCTGTCTTCACTGCAGTTTGTTGTTGCTGTGCCTGCTGTTGCTCCTATTGCTGTTGCTATTGCTGTTGCTATTGCTGTTGCTGTTGCTGGTGTATTTTTGTGCCTTGGTAATACTTTAATGGTGTTGTTTTGTGGTGTGGTGTCTGGTGTGGTGTATTGTGGTATAGTAGCTGTGATGTAACTGTGTTTGCTGCACTCAGTAGAGCGCCACATTGGAGGCCTGTGTATATGCATCCCACTCGCAATCGCAACCCTCTAGGCAATCGGGGCATTCCAGTTCACTGTCTTGTCAGTAGAGCCACGAGACTGGCACCCATTGGGGTGTGGTGTGCACCCGGTCGATGGCCGTTTCCAGCGCGGAAATCGTATCGCTAATGTCGTTGTTCACAATCGTCATATCAAAGAAATGGCCATACATTTGACGCAACATTTCCGATTCCTTTGCCAGACGCTCCAGGCTGCCATCGTACTGTCGTGCAGATAGTAAAACAAAGAAAACCAATTAGCATAGAGGCACACAAACAAAAACACACTGGGCACAGCTGTCAGCCAGTCAGCCAGGCATCCGCTTACATCGGCGATATTCTGCAGCGAGGGCGCCGCTATGAAGACCACATAGGGCGTGAATTCGGCTGTGCGTAGTATCTTCAGTGCCTGCGGCTCCACATCCAATATGGCCATCTTGCCGTCCGTGTGTATGCGTCGGATAGTGTCAAGCTTGGTGCCATACATCGCATCCTCGTGCGTGCCTGGGTGAATTCCTAAGTATTACTTTGAGTGCTGCAGTTGGTTACGACTCACCATATTCCAAGTACTCGTTTGCGGCAATATCCGCCATCATTTCGTCGTGCGAGACAAAGTAATAGCTGCGTCCGCTCTCCTCCTCGGGCTTAGCAGGTCTCGTTGTATCTGAAATAAATGCAAAAAAAACCTTAAAATTTTTACCAAGTAGTTTAGCTAAAGACTTTTGAACTTACGTGGTATGGGATAGGCGTACTTATCGGGATACTTGGATATTAAAGTGTTTTTAATATGCCGCCTGCCCACCCCATGGGCACCCAATAGCACCAACGTTTTGCGCTGAAAGTTCGGATCACCAACTGAAAAGAAATCAAATCCATTTAAGTCTCTGTTACAGAGGAGAAATAATCTCAAATGTATGCTCACCTGGCACCTTGACAACCTCTTCGTATGTGACCACATCCAGATTATCGAATATGGCATTATGCTTGGCCAGGTATTTGTCCCGACACTGTTTCTTCTTGCGCCCGAATATCGAACAGTTTACTGTAGGTTATAATTTTGGGAAATGATTTTATAGTTCCATTTAGCAAATCAATTTACATATTCAATTATTAGAAAATGAAGAGCCACATGCTTGATGGAGCAGACACAAACATGCTGTTGAGCAGGCATTAAAATTAAGTCATTAAAGCAAGCAAATATTATATAGTATAGTACGACTCTTGTTGGCATTTATAGCATGTATTTATTATAAGCATTCGTCATTTTATAGCATAGAAAATGCATTTCTTTATAGTTTGATTCGCATATTTCTTGATTGATTTTTATGCCATTTATTTTGATAACTTTTGTGAACTCTTTCTTGGACAGATGCTTCCGGAAATCTCTTTAGATTTGGAAATGCTGTCTGGTGTTCTTCAACGTGCAGAGTGTGGCCTGTGTGTGTGTGTTTCTTTCTGGCTGTGTGTGTGCTTGTGTTTCTGTTTTTGGATATCTACACTCGATACTCGGAACAATTCAGTTAAAGGTTTAGTTTTAGTTTATTTCGGTTATAAGCGGGTTAGGGAAAATGATCATACGCAACGATGTCTAGTGCTGGGTTCTACGTTGTTCTAGATGATGGTGATGGCTTGTGGCGACTATCCTTGGGGGGGTCTGGTGGTTTCGGTGCCTTCTACATAAGCTACAACTTTCGGTGGTTTTGGGATATTTTTTTTGCTGTTGTTATTTTTATTTGTTTGGGTGGGGTGAATTTTTGGGGTGAAATCTTTATACAATTGCTATCGTTAAAATTCTGTAGTATATGTATTGTTGTTGTTGTTGTGTTTGTATGTGTTTTCTTGTTTTTGTTGCATAACAGAACTCAAGAAGAAACGTTTTTATAGTTCGACAATTTTTGGCAAGCTCTCCTTAGGCGGTTAGCTTGGGATTTTCATTGAATTTAAATTGGCTGTGTGTCATATGTGGGTTGGTTTTGTGTTTTTTTGTGTGCGTTATATGGGTAACTACCTGCTGATCCATCACACCCATCTGCGTGAGCGGAACATCCAGCACCCGGTTCTCCTGCATTATATTATTATACATTTTTTTAAAGTAGGTATACTCGTATATGCTGTGATTTCTTATGCTATTTTTTAAATATTAAATCATTTTACAGCTGTTTGGTATGTGTGCGTGTGTGTTTGTGTGTGTATGGGGAAGGGACGGTTTTTGTTTTGGGTTCCGTTTTGTCATGGAGTATTTATCAAGAATTTTGGCAACATTTTTGGTTTGGTTTGGTTTGGTTCGGTTTAATTTAAATGGGATTTTCTTTGGTATTCTCTGACTACTTTTTTGGGGCATGCAACTCTCCAGGGCTTATTATGTTAGTGTATTAATGTGTGTACATGTGAGGTTTACGTGTGTGTGTGTGTGTGTGTGAGCGCTGACAGAGAAGAGACAGAGCCATAGAGAGAGAGAGAGATAGAGAGTGAGCGCGCTTTCCCCTGCGGTCAGGTCAACTACGAATTCGTCATACACTTTCCAATATATTACAATATATAGCATACGATTGATTGATTGATTGATTATATCGAGCATCCAATTACACATAGAGAATACGCATAGATTCGTTTCTTTAGTTTTTTTTTTTCTTTTTTTTTTTTGTGTTACAGCTAATATTATCTTTGAAGGACTCACCCTGCTCCTGCTTGGTCTTGTCGACCGTCTGGCAGGCAATGCGCCACTCCTGCAGCTCCGGCGATGGTATCAAGCCCGCCGAGCCACCAACCGTGTCCAGTCTCGCCTGCCACCAGTGATGATCGTCCTTGCTAATGATCTACAGATCGATGGATGATAAGGTTTCGGTTCGGTTCGGTTCTGTTTTTGAGCTGCCACCTACCTGCAGTATGTCGCCCACTTGGAATGATATGCCCGCCTGGGCGCAGGGTATAAGCTCATCATCCAGCGGATTATAATCAAATTGTGCGCGTACGAAAATCTGCACGAGAAAAGGAAGAAGCCAGAAGCCAGACCCAGAAACAAAAAGAGCACAAAGTGAGTTCACAATTTAGTTTTGGTTTTGGTTTTGTTTTTTGCTTTTGCTTTTCATTTTACTCTGCTCTGCTCTGTGCTGTGCTGCTCATTGCTATTTGCTGACGCTGCAATTTGAGTCGGGAGGCGAGGCAGCAGTCAGGAGGCGAGGCTCTAATGCGGCTGCCTCAGCGAAAAGGGTTTTGAGTTTGGTTTTTCCCCCAATTATAATCCCAACTCATTTGCATGGCAGCAGCAACAGCAACCACAATTAGTGGGATAAAGGCCAACGGCTAACTTCAAATTGTCTAGCAACGAAAATTCTCCATGGGATATCGGAGATATTTTCCCAGAGAAAAGTATTAAAAAAAACTGCTCAAAAATTGATGCTTGAATTTTCACAGCATGCACTAGTTGCATTAGATATTTAAAGCATTATAATTGCATGGGAATATTATCAATAAAAATGTTAAGCTTTAAAATATAAAATTCTGCTTGGCTTATTTTGTATTCTATTCACAGCACAAAAGAGTTTTCTGACGCATACTTGTCAAGCAAACGACGACTCGTTTTTATGACAGCTAATTATATTTTATAGTTTACGTATCCAGGCGATTCTGATTTCTATTCAGTTGAACTTCAGCGCGAAACGGACCAACTTGAGAGCTATGAAACAGATGGACAGCTGGACAGCTGGACCGGTGGACAGACGGGCGGCTTCAACTGTTTTCAGCCAACAGCTGTCAAGAACAGACTTTCTTTATAGCTGGCGGATATGCGCTGGCCCCACTACAGGGATACGGGGACACAGGGATGCAGCGTTCTATTGTCTATAGTTGCTGCTGTGGCTACTGTTGACTAACCAAAGAGCATAAATTATACGAATTTGGGTTGATTGTGTGCATAATATTGTTACTTGTTTATGGGTTTATGAATATGCACATCTACTAAGGGTGTGTGTGTGTGTGTGTGTGCGTGGGGGAGTGTATGAGATTATGGGTCTATTGTTAAGGCGGCAAATGATACTTACAAGCACCGGAGCGGGTCTGATCCTGAAAAGCTGCATTTGTGTGTGTAGTGGAGAGTGTAGGCAAGTAGGAAGGAAGCAAGTCAGATGAATAAGATAGTATGGAGAGAGAGAGAGAGTTATGTAAACGAGCAGACAAGTAATTGCATAATGCATTAGAACTACACAAAATAGTGCACAGTAGTTTTCCCCTGCTTCGTATATATTTTTCCCTATATTTACCTACACCATTAATAAAGTGAAAAGCTATGTAACTTCTTTAGCTTATAATCTGCATAATGCAATCGACTGGCCACAGAGCACAAACTACGGCAGGAGTTACTGGTGGGGGGGGATAATGGACACATCATTAATCCCTTTTAATATTTTGATTTCACAAATTGACAGGTAACACGAGTCTTACACTCAATGGCATCAAATTACTTAATCCCCCTGGCGAACAACTGATTTATTCTGAATGTGGAAATGCTGTGTGCAATTCTGACAGCTATTCAATAAAGCTTTGCCACAGTTAAAAGTGATATTTAAGCCCAAGGACATTTCATGAAAAATATCGCAAAAAAAAAAAGATGCTAAAGAAGTGCATTGCTGCCTTTTACACCCGATGGGGGGGATTCTCAAACTAGTGGCACTAATGGAATAATGGATAACTAGCCCTAATGAGAATTGTATTATTGTATGATTAGTAGTGGGACTCAGGGTCTAAGATATTATTTGAACGTATTGTAAGAACATTTCGAGATGTACATTTGTGTATTTGGAACTCACCTCGCAGGGTGGCGGAGCGCTACGGTACGAAGGAACTATCTTGAAGGTAACAGAACCGCGTGCCTCGCGCTGCAATAAGAAGGATTAGGTAAGCACACAACGGAATTCAATTAGAAAGTGGAGTCAGGCATAGGGCAGTCGCTTACCAGCATTCGTTGCAATTGGCCCACCGACTGATGCTGCACCGGCTGGCCATTGATCTCCCGTATCTCGTCGCCCACATGCAGCGTCGCCTGTCGATGTATCATCCCCCCGTGCATAATCCTTGCCACAATGCAGCGCCCATCCTCGGTCATCTTCAGCGTAATGCCCTGCAAAAATTGAATGCCCTGCGTTAGAGGGAGGCCTCTGTGTGTGATTCCCTTTTGGCCGCCAGTACTCACCATGGGCTCGTCCGTGTTCTTTTGGAACTGCACCAGCCGTACCCGGGTCACATGCTGCAATTCGCCGCCCTCCACATTGTCCATCTCATCGCCATTGAGGTAGGGCACCATCGGTGGCGGTGTAACGCGCAACGCCTCCTCGCCATACACATCGCGGGCCACCACATCGTGGCTATGGAGCAGCGCCTGCAGGACCAAAAAGAGAACCCAGAACAAGGTCAGTCGTCGGTCGGTTGTTGGTTTGTTGGGGTCTCGTTGGCCTAAGTTATGGCCAGCAATTATGCTGCCCGTTATGAGATGGCTAAGCGATGGGGCCAGGGCTCGTTTCGGGCTCTGAAATTAAATTTTCGATTTGCGCACGCCCCCAAAACATACATCATGCCCAGCCCAGCCCAGGCCAGCCCAGTCCAGTCCAGGCCCTTATCCCCATCACACGGATGGTTTACAGCATTAACTGGCGACGACATTTGTTCAACAGCCACAACATTAATAAAAAAAAGATTGAGAATGGAATTCTAGCTGTGGACATAACGAAGCTTCAAATACCCTCAACGATTGACTATGCAAATCCTATCTGGTGGTCCTTTGCCAGGGTATATGGAGGAACTGAGTAAAAGAAAACAAAGAGCGGTTCATCTCCATTTCAAAAAAGTCGTTAAAGCGACAACACCAACAACAACAACAACAGAGAGAGGGCACAAACATGACCTCATGACCCCTTCGAAGTAAAACCCATAAATGGCGCCCTCCCCCGCTGTTGCCCCTGCCGCTACTGCGACAGACTGCCTGCTTCTTGGGAACCAACAAAAAAATCTCAACAATTTATGGTGAACCCTGGCCACAATCTAAAACGAAAAGCAGCGGCAACAAACGGCTTGACTTCATACAATTTCGGTTTTAATAAATTATGTTTAATAACACTTTGAATATGTTGCGAAATTAATTTTTGGCCCTGCTCTTGCCTCACGCCGACAGACCGCAGGCAGTGGCAGCAACAGCGGCCACGATACATGGAGGATATTCCAGTGGGCGGGAGGGAAGACAGCCTGAAGCTAACAGAGGGCTGAAGTCACATTGGGCTAGGCCATAAAAAAGGATTTTACTGCGTAGCCAGGCTGTGCCACTTGCCACACACACACACACACACAGACGACCAGACCACCTACACACACACGCATATAGAAATGCATATATAAGTATATTTTGTATGCTAAGTACCACAACAACCACAATGCTAAGCCAGCAGTTTCGCCCCAATGCCCTTCACTTCACCCTACTCCGCTCCCCCCCCACTGCAGCCTCTTGTTCTTCATGCCCATATAAAGCCCAACCCAATCCACTGGCATCATAAAAAACGCAATTTTCAACGCTGATGATTACTCAATGCCACAAACAGGGCAACCACGTAGCAGGCAGGACCCCACACACACTTTTACCTATACACTGCCACTCATATGTATATTTACACACATATACACACACATACACCCCTCAAGCTTGCAGACGCACGTTTCATTTCCGCCACAGACGACGCACAGTGTTGACATCGACCTCAAGACCGTAACCAAAAGGCCTGTTCCTGCTGCTGGCTGCTCCTGGCTGCTCTCTTTTAGAAACTCTGCCCCTGTGCTGTCAGTTGCAACTACTATTTTTGATAGATTTCAGTCACACTCCATCTCCATACATACACTCCACAAGAAGCAGCAGCAGATGAATGACATGAATTCCCGCAGTGCCGTGTGCATAAATATTTCATAATGCTTCTTAGCAGAACATTTCCCAAGAACAGAGCCCACCACCCCACAGCAGTCCCTTTTCCGAGTTAGAACGAGACTTAGTTGCGTATAAAAAACGGATACAATATGAATGAAGGTCTTAACATGTTTATCCCAATATATAGTCTGGGTAGGGTGTGTTCTGGGACTGACAGGTGGTAATCGAGTTTTGAGCTTATCAATAAATATCAATTCAATAATTCAATGTGTGTTGGATTTGGATATTTTGGGGAGCGTGCGAATAAAACTTGTGTGGGATATCAAATTTAGTGGTCTTTGATTTGGAAATCCTTCTTCCATTTTGAGCTAAACATGAAATGCTCTTTTGAGGCAAACCTTCAGTACTCGGGGCATGTGAAGTGGTTTGCAAAAGGGATGTTCCGGCAATGCAAAATCAATAAAGGATCAGCTTCAATTATATAAAATCTTGTGTATCTAAATGGGTTGGGATTGCACTCTAAATTTTAGTATTCAGTTTGCATTTTAGCTTATTTTTTTTGTAGTTATTTTTGTAAAAGGGAAGAGATGAATTTTAGCAAAAATTAAATCTTACATGAAACTTAATCCTCTGAAGAGTAAAACTAAAAATGAAAAACTTATTTTGGTTGTACGTTTAAGCAGCTTAAATGTTTTTTCGTTGCGTCAAGTGCACATTAAATCAAAGAGCAACCAATTTGGATTACGATTTCCCTATCGAATAAATGTGGAAATTCGCTTTATAAAATATTTAATATATGTAAGTCTTATTCTGCTTTAATGGATATTCATTTGAGCGCACCAATACGAATTCCTTATGTCTTGCCAGAACATTCCTACCATTTGTGCGCCTTTGCTAAAGTTTTGGCCAATCCAATTAGCCAAAAAACTTTCGTCCGCCTATTAAGGACAGTTAGGAGAGGCTACGCCTACTGCTACGACGACTGCAGCCACTCAAATGTACACCAGTTGACGTCGCTTTTGCACGAGTGAACCATCTAGCAGCAGCAGTAGCAGCAGCAGCAAAGGCAGCCGCAACAGCATTTGGACTAAATAAATGGGTAATACAATTTCCGTGCCTGAAACGAAATTAACTACTTCGAATAAAATGTTGCTGAACTTGGCAACTATTTAAATGCGGCAGATGGCAGATGGTAGAAGGGCGAGTTACACTCGAGCAGCACTCGACTCACGCCTGGTTAGGTCTTCGGTCTAAGCTGACAGGGTACCCCCGGACTGGGGGCGATAAACAACGTAATCTGATTTCACTTAAAGCATGTCCTCTCCCTCCCCACAACCCGCACCGCTGGCCACGCCCACTTGTGCACTTTGGTTGGACACTTTCGTGGCAGAAGTGGAGTAGGGTAGTGGAAAAGCATATTTAACACCAAGTTGTTGGCCCAATAAAACGGTAAATTTAATAAGCGCTTGACAGGCGGTAAAGGAAAAGTTGAGCAGTTAAGTTTAATGCCTCATTAGGCGCTCCAACTCTGTGACATTGATAGGCCAACAGGCCAGCATCGAGATGTGGCAAAGTTTTTGCCCCCCCCCCAAAGCCACGAACAAATGAGGCCACACAGACACACACAGCACTCCCATATACATATAGTAGGAAAGAGAAGAAAGAGTTGGGACACCGCCCCAACCCACAGCTGACTCTGATTTCCATGATTAATACTTAAGTGCTTGTTAAAGTTGGGCTCTCTATGCAGATGAGATGCCCTGTCCGATCCTAAACAATCAAAGCCAAGCCCATTCATCCAAAGCCCATTCCGCTGCTCTGCCATTTGTTTGCTGCTGATGTGGCAGCAGCAGAACTAGACCGACCACCAGAGAAGGGATGCCCAAAAGAAGAACTGTAGTAGAAGAAAGGTTAGCCAACAGTAAAATCTCTCTCTCCCCAAAAGCAAAGCGAAAACAACATCTTCCGAGCATTCCGCCCACGGCCCCTAGTGCTTCAACACAACTAGCTCTTAAATGATTCAGGTGGCAAAAGTTTAGCGGAAACTTTGCACAAATCTTTGACATGATGCAAAACTTTTAGAGGGTTCTTCATTTTTTTTTTATAGAGCTTAGCTCTGTAACCGAACTCTGCAGAGGTGCTAAACTCGGCAAATTAAATATGGACTGCAAAAGTTAATCCAAAAGCAAAAGGATATGAACAAAATCTTTTAATATTTTAAGAGATGTAAATGTAACTCGTATTAAAACGGAATAACTGATTATTTAGTTGGGAGCAAAAAAGATCGTTAATATATTTATTTGTAATGATTTTTGTATGCTTCCATAATACTCAACTTATTTTTTGTATTTCTTTTTAGAGCCGCAGAGCTTTGCCAATAGCTATAATCTCTTTGGTAGCCGTCATCAGCTCTTTTCCAGCTAAATTTCAATCACTGCCTGCCCCTGCTACTGCTGCCTGCCCCTGCTACTGCTAACTGCCCCTGCTCCTGCTCCTCTATGGCTGCTGAGTCAGGTCTATTGTTATCCGTCAGTCCATGGTCCTGGCCATGGTCATTTTTTTCCCCAGCTTTATGCTAAGCCACTAACCAAAGGACGAAGCCACGAACCACCAACCATCGCAGAGGCCTCTGCTCGTTGTGGGAGACCTCACACCGACCGACCACACGAACGTTATTTGTTGGTTTTAATAATTACACAGCCCTGGCAACGACAGCAGCAGCAGCACAGGAACACAGGGGCAGGCAGGCAGTATTCCGAGAGGAAGTATTCTAGGATTTTACTCTCTTTAATATTCCAGGCCACACGTCAATTACACACGTACGCGCGACTGCGAATGGCTTCCACATCCATTTTTCCCCGGCTAATGGAGGCTGCAGATTGTAGGGAAAAACAGATAGGAAACTCTACACAGGAGTGGGGCAGCCGTTGACAGCTGAATCATCTGGATTAATGGCGAATTTTAATTAGTACAACGTGCAGCGGTAGGCAGACAACGTCAACCCACCAAACCAGACCAGACCCTCTACAGGCCCCCCCAAATACCCCAGGTGCCAGGTCGCAGGTCGCAGTCCGGTGGCCCGACTTCAGTCAGTTAATCTGGCCTCATGGCCAGGTTCACTCGGAGAGTTTCTGGCATTTGGCACCTTATCTGGCTAGGAGCAGGGCACCAGGAAAGGGTTTACAGAATATATATATAATATGTATGATATGTGGGGAGACCGCAAATGAATCTGCTGCATGATTAATTTCTGCTTAACCCCAACTTAAACCCGAGAGAAGAGAACATGAAGAATGGCGGAATCATTTGAATCGGAATAAAAATATTTCATGGCTATATAAAACTAGTATACATTTTTTCTTTCCTTAAATATATAACTGATAATTATCAGTAGCTTGCACAATTTCGCTAACAACTTAACAACCAATCGAAAACTTTAATCTTTAAATCCGAAACTTTGTTTCAAGCGATTC